TAATTCAAAGTGACTTTCCTCTCTCTCTCTCTATATATACATGTAAATAATGTCAAAATTGTTAAAAAAAAAATCATAATTTGATTTTTTTTTATTTTGTACATATAAATTTGAAATAAAAAATATTATATAAATAATAATTAAAATTTTTTATTAAATAAAAATACTTAATAAAATAAAAAAGATCAAATTAAATGGTACTAAACTATAAGGCGGAGGTGCAAATTTCTCTACTTTCTTGCAGTAGACCTGCAATGCTGCTTGCTAAGCAGGGCGCGCAGACAAACGAAAACCTAAAATCGGGCCCGCAAAAATTGAACTTCACCTCCGTTGCTATCAGATTCACATCCTCTCGACCTCCTCATCGTATCGGACTAGGGTTTGCCATTTACTTTTCCGACATCTTTTGTCAATTCTTAAAATGTGCCACTTTATGCTTGTCTTTGATTACTGAAAATGGGTTTTTGTTTTTCAGCAGTTCCTTCTTCACTGCTTTGGGGGTTCCCACTTCCCACCTGTAAGGTTATTTGGATAGAGTTATCCAGTATTGCATGTCCATTTGCTTGATTATGCTAGTTTAATTTCTGGGTAAATGTACAATTGATGTTGAGAGGTCAGTCTTTTTCTTTTTCATCATTTTGACAACTTTTGAACTTTGAAACTATTTCTACTTAACTTGAATAAGAACATCTTTTATCTTTTGTCTCAAAATCTGGTATGGATTTCCATTGTCTCGGGAGAGCTGTTTCTGAAGCTTACAGGGTATCAGATATGTATTGTCTGCCCCACCCACACCCAACCTGAGTCATGTCTTTTAAGTACAGTACTCCATTGTTCTTTTGGTGCTTTTTACTGTTTATACTTTATGTCGGACACCACAACTTTTGCTGCCCTTAAATTGGTTCTGGTTTTCTGATTACTTACAACTTTTCGTTTCTTTTAGTTGGACTTGTGCTCGTGGATCCTCTTTTATATTGGTGTTTGTTTTCACTTCTTAATATTAGTGCTTCATGCATAGGTTGCTCTCTTATCAATTCTTGGTGAAATTTTCTTAAAATAAAATAAAAACTAATTTGACAGTTACTTTTGATATCATTTTTTGGCCTTCTTATCTAGATAGCATTGCAAGAATCTTAGGCATCTTAGTTGGAGAGAAATACTAGTTTGAACTATTGTTCAACTATGAATGTATAAAAAATTAACTGATGCCAGATCCAAGAATGGTAACCAAAATACAAATCAGTGTCTGTTAGAACTCTCGTTCATGAACTCCCTGAATCTTTTCTTCATACATGTATGATGATTCCATTCCTTCCCTCCTTCCTGTTTCTGTCTTCAATCAAGATGCCTTACCTAATAGAATCCATAATCTTGTAGACTGAGGAATCAGGAAAAGGATTATCAGCTAACCAAAGGATCTCAAAATGAAGATAAAGCTGGTTGCCTCCTTCCTTCCCACGAAGATCCCAATTGAAACCCTAGGAGGTGCGGTACTCCCCAAGCCAATTTGGAGTGCACCAAAAGATTCTGCTTGGATTAGCACATCCTAGATTCTGCAATGCCCTTCCTTCAGTGAGAGTGTACCCTTGCTTAGATCATCCAAGTCATTAATTCATGATCTGTATCATACATTACATACATATGATTCATGTAGGTAGAAAACCATGTCAACACCCCCAAGTTTCTTCCTTTCCATCGGTAAATGTCATCCATCTTGATGACCAGAGATGGAATTTCTTTGTTTTGTGAGGGGCTAATTCCTGGTTTGAATTCTCACCATGAGCTCTCTGTATTTTATCCTATTCTATGTGAAACAAAAATTGATCTCAAATTATTGATTCAATATTTCTATAACGATAATGTGAGGTTGAAATTCAAATTAGAAAATTACATATTTGATGTTTATGTGACAATGAGCATCCTAAGGTTTTTAGGAGGTTTAGGTGGTCACCCTTCAGCTTAGTTCAATTGGGTCTGGCTGATTGCTCCTAAGCTTGTGGCACTTGTCCCCTTGTCATGTGATATTCTTGCTTGACCATATTCATGGTATAACACTATCCATTAGTCAAAACTCATTACCCATATTTACGGATATCAAGTTAAAAGGTTGTCATCCCCATGAATTGTGGATTTCACTTGCAGCCATTACAAAATTTGGTACTAAATAAAGGGTTCTTCTTAAGAAGGTTAAGGATGACTAGTAATTAGTCATTTCATTTTCATTTTTCTATTGAACAGCTCTTTCACGGGTTTTGGCAATAATGTCCAAGTCTTGCAAGGGCCATGCTGTGGAGCTTGTCAATTGTCTCAGTGAATCTGATTGTATCAAGGTCTTTTCTCCTGTTCTATTTGGCCTATTCTGTTTTCTTGGTTATTCTTTTGTATGATTTTCTGGGTTTCTTGCCAGGTTCAGAAGCGATCCTACAGGGAATGTGCTGCAGAGAAAAGCCCCTTAAAATCTAGCAAATGTGCGGGACTCAGGGAGACTTATTTCAATTGCAAGAGAGGGCAGGCACGTTTTCACTCTTGCTTCCTTTTTCTTATTATTTCCTTCATATACTTTTGGGATTCAATCCATGTTATGAACTAAGAAAGAAAGCTTACTAAAGTTAATCCCCAGATAGAAAATTTGAGCTTTTTAAAGTTGAATTAGGGGTATGGTTTGGTTAATTGGTCCATTTTGTGGATTAAATACGTCTTTGGTGTCCTTAATAAGTTAATAGAGACTCAGGAAATGATGACAATTACGAAGATCTAGGAAAGTGCAGACAATTAAGTTTAATGTAACCCTGTTAAAATAGAGTGCAACTCAATAAGGCTATTGAGTTAAGACTTAAGAGATCCATGATTATACTGACTACTATTGATACATGGTGTTTACTAAAGGAAAGCATCCCTTTCTTGTTTGACTGGTTCTAGATTTGGCTCTTAACTAGGGGGTCGAAAACTGTAAATGAGTGATGTAGCTCATGAGTTACTTGTGAGTACCTTGACTCAGCTTGAGAAATAAATGAGCTTGAGCTCAAGCTTGATTTTGAAGTTGATAATATTATTGAGTAGCTTAATTAGAATAAAAATATATGAATTATATTATATTATATTATATTAGAGCTTACAAGTAGCCTGTGAGCTACTGGAGCTTGAATATAAGCATAATATAAGCATAACTTGAGATTGATAAGTAAGAGTCGAGCTCAAGTACCTTAATAAAAGAATTGCCTAAATTTCCTGTAGTTGATCAACCTCAACAAAGTCAAATACAGTTAGCTTTTATATGTTTTCTATTTCACTTATTTGTGGCCACATGTTAGCATTTCAAGGTTTGTCCACGGGGTTGGTTTGGCCATTGTTTACACTAATTGTTTACACTAATTGTTTTCTGTTTTCTAAATAAATTTGTTCAATTTCCTATTTTCAGAAACAAATTTAAAGAAAACTGTTCTAGAAATACCAACTATTTTATATACACCCTCCAGCCTTTTTTTAGTTGTCCTAATCCTAATCCCTCAACTTTAAGTAAATTAACTCTAGAAATTTTATAGAGCAAATGAATGAAAATTTGATTTTTTTTTTTTTATCTAAGTGAAAATAATCAACAAGCACTATGTATAGGAAGAAAAAAAAATTTTCAATTGTCATCTATTTGTTATATAAAATTATTAAGTCAAACTTTATACAGAAGTCAAAATAGGACAACTAAAATGGATTAGAGGGAGTAGTTATTAGTATTGAAATTTGTTTTTGTTACTAAACATACCTTTTATTTAAAGATTATTTATATGGATTCTTGGGCTTTATATGTCACACCCCACTCTGTAATTACTATGGATTGAAAGGTATGGCTGTAATTTATCAAGACATGCATTTAGAAGACATAGTTTATGGTTAACATTACAAGGTTTCAAAACTAATGCAAGGAAGATTATGAAACTGATATAAGAGAGCTAGTAAGCTGTGAAAACTTTATCAGAAGTAAAAAGTTGTGCAAACACATAACTTAGAAACAAAAGACTTATAACAAAGCTTTATGAAGTTTTAGATGGTAAAAGCTCAGAAGAGTGTGCGGGAAAACTCAGTAAGGAAAAACTCAGTAAAACACACTTTAGCATAGAGAAGCATAAGTCTGTTTTCATAAAAATCAGATGATAAATGCATGATGGTTTAATGCTGATAAAACAATCCTGCATGGTACTGTCATGGCTAGAAGTCAATAAGTTCAGTCATAAACATGTAGAAACAGTTGCTGAGTTACTGACACAGTGGGTAGCAAGTCCACACACCAACTCCTTTTATCACAATAAATAGGAAGTAACCTTTAAAATGCTCTGTGTCTTGGTTATGGTCTTGCTACTTCCTAGGTAGTTTGAATATTTTTGTTATTATTGTATTATATCCTGTATATTAGTACTTTTGCTCTTCCATCATTCTGATGACATAAAAGAGTAAAATTGACATTTCCATGCACTAATTCATTGTGTGGTTTGGTTTTCAGGTTGACATGAGAGCAAGGATACGGGGAAACAAGGGCTACTAAATGGAGGGTAATCCTGAGAAAAAAAAAATGAAAAAGAAATTCTGAGAAAATCCCTTTTAAATTTACTTCTGACCAAGGTGATCAAGTAGGCTCAAAGATTTTGTCATCATTAAAAATTGTTTTGGGTAGTTTTTCAGGTTTGTATTTATATTAATCAATTTTTGTGATGCCAAGCAAAATATTATTGGCAAAGAGCTAACTGGAGTGCCTGCGCTTCATTACATTTACAGCTACATTATTCAAGCCACAATCTTTTATGTATAGGTCAGATTCTACAGGATTGCGAAAGGTATAATAATTAAGCATGTTGCATTGCATTTTTGGTCTATGAACTTTGGGACGTGTATAACAATCTGGTGCACAAGATAATTTTTTCCCCATTTTGGTCTAGCGTGTTTGAATTCAGTACCATGTCAGTCATGGTGGTTCCGTCCATTTGGACCAGAGATTCAAAGGTGCACCTTCATAACTTGGTTGAGGTGGAAGATGGGTTGAACTGAAGTAAGGTATAAAAGCTCGAATCAAGCTCTAACTTGAATCCAGCCTACATAATTTTTCTTGAGTGGAGCTTAAACTTACAGAAGCTTAACTGGACCATCTCATTTGCAGCATCTATGTCAAACTGGGGTTGATTGGGAGCATCAGTCACCCATCTCGCAATAAAAATGGTCAAGATCTTGAGAACGACCATAGATTCATAGATGATCCATCACAAAGTGGCATGCGTGTGTAGAGTGTGGGGGTCATTGGTGGACAAAATTCCCAAATTCACCTCTCAAATTCAGGAGTAAGGACATCTCTCAAAAAAAAATATGGGGATAAATTATTTTTTTAGATCAAGATAAATTATCTATTTTTTAATATGTGATGGTAATTTTTCCTTAAAAAGTGCTTATGTGATGGTAATTTTTCCTTAAAAAGTGCTTATGTGATAAACATAATTTTGACGTTACATGTTAAAAATCGAATGATTTGTTTCGATTTATAATTTAAAAAAATAATTTATTTTTATATTTTAAAAAAATTGAATCCATCCTACTCTCTACTTGAAGAGTAAATTTAAGGGTTTTGTTGTCACGGGTGGCTTGTTACGACATTTATGAGTTGAGCATGGGCTTACACTCGTGACATTAACGCCACAATACACGGGCCGGTCCAAGTCCAGTCCTGGTCTCAAACCCTTGTATAAAACGCAACGCTACGAGGCTTTGTTTAGGATTATTGATGGTAATAAAGAGTTATTAATGGCTGCACTGCTGTTTGTCAATGACTTCCTACCCCAATAATAATTTCTTTGTAAACGAAAGTCATACTGTATCGTCAGGGGTGGGGGTTGGGTGGATAAAAGGAGCAATTGCCTCAATTATTGGCAATCGTATTTGATAAATTTTGAAAAAAGTATTATTTTTCCTATAAATTTAAAATTAATTTTTGTTACTATTTAAATAACTCAATAATTATTTTTTTTATTAAAAAAAATATTAACTTTGAATTATATGATATATGGATGAAGTAAAATAAATAATGAAAGATGATTATCTTAAACTATGTAAGTAAGATAAAAAAATAATTTTTAAATAAATTATAAGTAAAATTTTAAAAAAATTATATATTTAAATTTAAAAAAAAGCTGATTTTTTTTTTTTTTTTTTGAAAATAGGTAATGGTAAAAACAGCTGATTTAAAACTCACTTGTTTGTTTTGTCGGTCAGCAATAGGAAGCTATTCACACCATTGTCATTACAGTCCACACTGTTAATTCCAGGATTATCTATCATTCTCTACTCATTCCTTCTTTCTTCCATATAATCCATATACTGCCTGCCTGCCTGCCTGCCTGCTGTTGTTCACAATCAGAGATTGCAATATGATACAGCTATTGTATACAGTGATCCTGACCCAAGTGGGTATTATCCTCACCTTGCTCTTCAAAACTCCTCTTCGGAAGCTCGTAATCATGGCTTTGGATCGGGTCAAGCGAGGGAAGGGTCCGGTCGTCGTCAGCACTGTTTCCGGCACCGTCTCCGTCGTCTTCGTCTCCAGCCTCTACAGCATGGTCAAGATCCAGCGCCGAACCGTTGAGGCTGGTACTGTCAATCCCACTGACCTCGTCCTCATGTCCAAGCACATGCTCGAAGCGTCTCTTATGGGTATCCTTCTTCTCTCTCAAGGGTTGGATGTTTGATCTTATCATTGAATATTCTCATTGATTACTTCTGCCAAGCTTTCTTGTCTACTACTACTAAATTACGAGTCTGTGGTTTCAGCTTGTTGTAAAAGCTTTGAAATTGTAGTTATTTATCCCTTGTCCTCCCTTCCTCTAGGATTGAAATTGCATGGCTTTATCCCTCCAAATTTCCGGAAAATGAAGTGAAGTTTTGGTTATTTCACATCTTGCAACACCAGATTGACACCAATTGTGAAAATCTGACTGCTCACTCAACGTGAGGTTGGGGGAGGGGTTCTTCTAAATACAACTGCTATTTAACCTTTACATCAACGATTGGAAGCCTTCTTAGTGGGGTTAAAAGAGGGGCTAGAATCAGCAGGGCATGCCCCATAGTATTCAAGTTTGGAAGGAAAAATCTTGCCTTTGTGAGCTAGGTGCTCAGCTGAATAAGTGTTTTGTGAGTGAAGGTGATGTATCATTAGTGCCATGAATGCCTGCAAGCGTCTTGTGCACTTAGTGCATTTGTGTTTTTTCGTGTTCTAAATTTTTGAGCTATGACATTGCTCTTGCAACAGTAGTTCATTTTTCATTCAGTTCGTAGTTAGTCTTCTCTGATCTTTTAGGACTTTGGATTGGAGAGGTTGTTTTTACGTTGAGGAGAAAAAAGGAAAGAAAATAATGCCACTTACATTTGTTTTTGTTTCACTATTAAGTGTTATTTAATCTTAAGAGATTTTAGTTGTTAGGGTTCATGGTTTCCCTTGAACATCTGAGTCACATTGCACCATATGATTCCTAGACCCTAGTTTATTTGTGCACTGGATCCCAAATGGAGGGCCCCAAATTTCTTTTGTAAGTTTCAAGACACTAATAATCATTAGCAGCTAGTACTCACTGTGAGTGCTTTATTTCTCATAGCTTCTTTGCAAAAAGTTTGGACGTATAAGAATTCTTATTTAACAAAGAATTGTTTGGATGGATAATCAGTACGTGGCACTATGTTTTTGAGATTTGGTTGGAATTACATCTCTGAAGAAGTTTAAAAATTAGAATCTTGATTGCTTATAGAAATAGTATAAAATACTACACCACGTGCAATGTGCATAACGGTAAAGCATACATATTAGAGAAACATAATTAAAGCCTTTAGAATTTTGAATTTACAAGGTACCTACAGTTTAATTGGCCTGGTTTGCTTGTTTTAGAGAATTGCCTTGGTAGTGCTTGTTTTAGAGAATTGCCTTGGTAGTGCTTGTTTTAGAGAATTGCCTTGGTAGTGCTTGTTTTAGAGAATTGCCTTGGTAGTTCTTGTTAAGTATGCATTATTCACGTGCATTAATAACAACCGGTTTGTGTCCAAATCTCTCCAATTTTGGTTCTATTATTGTTTTTTCACAAATTACAGGAATTGCTGTAAAGCGTCAGATCTGATTGTGTCTATTGGTTTAACTTATACTTGATATGAATTGTCTCTAAAATCATATATCTCAACTTCCTACCTTGTGCTATGTGTCCAAATTTCTGCAACAAAAAGTTGCTTTTGTCTTAATGTGTATCGTACATGCAGGATTTGTGTTATTCCTTGGATTGATGATTGATAGATTGCACCATTATATAAGAGAACTTCGACTGCTTAGGAAGACAATGGAAGTTGCAAAGAAGCAAAACCAAGGCTCTGAGGATGGGAAAAGTGGTCATGCAGAAGAGGCCAAAGCCTTAAGAGAAGAGATCTCTGTGCTGAAGACCAAGGTGAAGAAGTTAGAATCTGAGTGTGAAACCAAAGCGAATGAGGCAAAAGTTGCCCAGGCTGAAGCAGAGGCTGTTAGGAAACAGTCAGAAGGCTTCCTTCTAGAGTATGATCGCTTGCTGGCAGACAATCAAAACCTTCATAGTCAGTTGCAATCAATTGACCAAAATTTATCAGAATCTGAAGGCAAGAAGAATATGTAAACAACCTGCGAAAGAACAAATTTCCTTACTTCCAAGCTATGTAGATTAAGGAAAGGAAGAGTGATTTTGTGGGACAGGGTTAGTTTGTGTATACAATGGACTTGTTATATGATTTTCCTATGACTTGGCTTTTTATTTAGTTTGTATTTCACATGCCCTATACCCTAACCTACCCTATGATGAGTTTGTTTTGCAGTACTTTGATTTACCATATGTTGAGCTTTTAGCATTTTGAAATTAACACTAAGCTTCTGATCTCTATCCTACTTCATCTGTGGGAAGGATTGCCCATGGGGAATTATATAATGGGGATTCTACAAGCTGCTACTTTGTCCTGCAGATTTTTTAAGTTGAAGCACTTGTCCAGCTAATTTCATAATTGCTATCCGTGAGAATTCCAAGTAGTTATGTACTTACAAGTTGAATTCACTTGGCAGAGGTAAAATTGTGTGCACCTTTGGCTTTGAGTTTTGCAGAAACCTATAAACTTATCAGGAATCAGGAAATTATAAACACAGACGAACCTGGCTGATGTTTTATCGTCTTCTAATGTTTTTAGTAAACGGTAGGTCATTCAAGTTCTGCGGCTGGGCCCGGATTTTTTGAAAAGTTATTCACATGGTAATTCTGTATGTTGCAGCTTGCTGGGGTGGGGATCTATTTAGGGACCATACAGGAAAACTGGTTGAGGATAATATTTTGGCAGCACGGCATACTCAAGTCCGGGTCAGGAGCTGTGTATGATCGCAATATTAAGAGTCTAGTGTAGCCTATCACTTTGCATTATAATTTTTATCAGATTTTGGGTCTGCTAAAGTGCCTCAGCTAGCTCATTCTATCGTGAACTATATCCTTTTTGTGAAACATTTCAAGTTTTTGCATCTCTCTTTAGTCATCTAATGAAACAAGAATTTCAGCCGGGCAGTCAATCAAGCTGTGTGAGAGCTCGATAATATTACTTGAGTTCAATATATTGGGACTATCCAGATGTGGATAATTTCTCTCCTGGAACTGGTCATGTCTCTTTAGTAGGTGCTGATTGATGTTGTCTGATATTCTATTCAGTGTCTTTCATGATTGAGAAAATTTGTAATCCAATACGTGCTGCTAATGTAAATCTTTGGCTTAGGTGGTGACTGTGATGGTGACAAAAAGATGGATTACTTGAAACTTCTCTATAGAGCATGTTACAGATTCTTTATCTGGTGGTCGCATGATGGAAACTTAGTAGCTATATTTTGGCAATCAATCTCTTCTTTAATTCCTATACAACTTCCGTAAAAATATTTCTTTTGCAGTTACAAGGACTTCATGTTTGTCTAGGCAAAACAATATTTGTAACGTCAATACTAAAGCAAGACAACAATAGTAATAATTATAAACCGGTGCCCTCTCTTCTGTCTCTCTCTTATGCTATCTCATTGATTCTCATCCTTTATTTCACCTTGTTATGTGATGTTTAGTGAGATTGATTTCAGACTAATTAGAAGGAAATGATTATGGTGCTGATGATGGTAATGATAACTGTAGCCAAGGCAAAGCTAAGCCAAGAAACCAGCATATGATAGGATCCTGTCTATACTCTTGCATTTTCAACCATAGAGGGTTATGGTTCAGGATAAAAATGGCAATTATTTGGCAGAAAATTGTGGTAGATTCTGCCAAACAACAGAAGGAAAAAGATCTTGGCTTTTCTAACATGATCTACATATACAGCCCCAGTTTATCTCATCCCTTGTATGCTCTTCTAAAATTCATGTTGTGATTAGGAGTGATTCTGATAGTTTTAGATATTGTATGGTTTCTTTGCTCTCTTTTCTTTTCTCTTCTTTTTCTTTTTTTTTGGTAATTAGTGATTATGATGTGGATCTAGCAATGCATTTTAGGACATATATACTTGTCATATATATGAGAGATTAGATTCTTGACTGATCAGAATATGGCCCTTTAGAGGCAACAAACTCACGTGAATCAAACAGGACAATTATGTCACCTAGCAAACACTTTGTTTCCATCAAAAATCAACCACAAATGTCGATAGTGAAACACCAACAATATAAATAGTACTAGTGTAACAGCAACAAGGGGTGTCGGCAGTTGCTTGGATTTTTGCAAGAAAATCTTTTTGACAGTGGGAAATTTTTAGCGAGGAATGGGAAATGGGACACAGAGGGAGTCGAACTCAAGTCCGGTGTGAACCAGAACCACCACAAAGGGAGAAAACCACTTGCTCTACCCAGTGATTCTCTTTTGCAAGAACATCAAGCTGTCTCATCATACATTGTTGCAACTTGCAACAGAATTGTCGGCTTTTTCAAATAAGAAGTTGACGTTTGTGGAATTCAGGATAAGCTCTAGTTATTCCAACCAAAAGCTAACTCACTTTCTTTCCTCACTGACTAGATCTAAGAATGGGGAAAACGAAAGAATTGAAATTGCTATGCATCTTGCTGCTTTTCTTAGTATCAGTTACTGCCAACAGAAGTAGCTCATCTCAGAACCAGAGTCTGGAGATTCAAACCCACTTGAAGAACTTGAACAAGCCTGCAGTCAGATCCATCAAGGTCACTTGCATTTTCTTCTTTATCATGACATTATTAGCTTCAATATATTCCTAGTCTAACTGTTGAATTTGAACAGAGTCCAGATGGAGATATAATTGACTGTGTACGAATTGCTCATCAACATGCTTTCGATCACCCGTTACTCAAAAACCATACAATTCAGGTGAAACCTTGTTTTTTTCCTTTGGCTGACCGAGTTTATGTACATATGTATCAATTCTTGTATTTTCATTTTGTAGATGAGACCGACTTTTTACCCTGAAGATCTTTTTGGACAAAACAAAGCCTCCTCCAAATCCAAGCAACAATCAAAACCTGTTAGCCAGCTGTGGCAGTTGAATGGAAGATGCCCAAGAGGCACTGTTCCCATTAGGAGAACTAAACAAGATGACGTGTTAAGAGCAAGCTCTGTCCAAACATTTGGAAAAAAGGTGCTACGAACCATTCCTCAACCAAGTTCTGCAGGTCCTAATCTTCTCACTCAAAGTGCCCATCAGGTACCGTACTCCTGTAATTTCACTTTGTTGCATTTACTTCTCATTAAGAAAAGCTGCATATATAAGTTGGAGTCTCTATCTAGCATGCAATTGCATACGTGGAAGGAGACAAGTATTATGGGGCCAAGGCAACCATAAACGTTTGGGAACCCAAAATCCAACAGCCTAATGAATTCAGTCTGTCTCAAATCTGGATCTTGGGAGGTTCTTTTGGGGAAGATCTCAATAGCATTGAAGCTGGTTGGCAGGTAATCAAATCTTTATCTATACATATAAAATTTTGTCTATCCAAATTTCTATATATCTATGGCTAGCTTAATTAATTCTTGTTGGTCTGATCTGATGAACAGGTCAGTCCGGATCTGTATGGAGACAACAATACGAGGCTCTTCACTTATTGGACTGTGAGACTTTGTGTTACTGAGTTGTTTTATGCAGTTGAATTTATAGTGCTGTCTTGATACCTATTTGGGTGTCTTCTGTTATGTGGACTTACAACACAGAGTGATGCCTATCAAGCAACTGGTTGCTATAATCTTCTATGCTCGGGCTTCATTCAGATCAACCGTCAAATAGCAATGGGAGCAAGCATCTATCCTGTGTCTAGCTACCGTAGTTCCCAATACGAGATCACAATACTTGTCTGGAAAGTAGGTTGTTCTTGTTTAATTATTGGTATGCATACGCAGGGTATTTATGCATGCACGCTATATACATATATACGTATAAAATTTTTAAAATTTAAACTTGTAGGACCCTGAAGAAGGTAACTGGTGGATGCAATTTGGAAATGAGCATGTGTTGGGGTATTGGCCAGGCTTCCTCTTTCCCTACTTGTCTGACAGTGCATCGATGATTGAGTGGGGAGGAGAGATCGTTAACTTTGTATCTGATGGACAACACACCTCCACACAAATGGGCAGCGGCCATTTCCCTCAAGAAGGCTATGGCAGGGCCAGTTACTTCAAGAATATTCAAATTGTTGATGGATCCAACAAACTCCGGATTCCTAAGGCAATCGCCACATTCACTGAGCAAGCTAAGTGCTATGATGTAAAAACTGGCAAGGCAGGCAATTGGGGCTCCTACTTTTACTTTGGGGGTCCTGGGCGAAATCCTGATTGCCCTTAATTCTAAATGTCAAAATTTTCTTTGACATTAATATTGTTAAAATCAATCTCTCTAATTTATTTATTTTTGTCTTTTGATTCTCACGTCCGAACGGACCAAGTATACACCGCTTGCAACTGTAGGATAACCCTTTGGCATTATAGGCATAGCCAGGCATCATCATCATCATCCGTCTGCCCGTGTCTGTACTTGTGTGTAGGACCACACATTTAAAATACAAGAAAGTATTTTATCTTATAAATTATATATTAAAAAGATAATTTATTTTATAAATTATTAAAATATTTTTAATAAAATTATTTTTTATATTATTTTATTAAAAATATTTTAATAAATTCGTAAGACAAATAAAACTTTTTTAATGTATAACTCAAAGGATAAAACTTGAATCCTTTTAACATACAGAGACATAAAGGAGAAGGCAAGAAAGTGCTGGAAGCCAACGGTAATTAAGAATCCCCAGTAGATATAATAGATAGCGAACTAGTTGGTGGGTTTCAGTTTATTATATAGGAGTTTGTTATATAGGAGTAATTAGTAGTACAAAATAGACACATGAAGAACAGAGTTGTTTGGATAGCTTAATATGAAAATCATAATTAATTAAGATACAATGCATATACATGAAGCAATACAAATACAATATAGGTAATCAGACTAATCCAACCAAAACAACCATGTAGGTAGCTTCTAATAAAGCGGGGAACCATCCATTAATTAATGGTAAATAATTAATTGGTAACAGCACCAATTAATTCAATTCCCCTGAAATTAATTAATTACTATGATTTCTCGTTCTTTTCTTTCTTTTGGACTTACTTTCTCCTCGAGTCCATTCCTTTTCCTATTCAGGCAGGGATGGAAATGAACATCACGTTGAATGGCTCCGGCGCCGGAGAATATCAAATAACAAAAACAAATGACTTTGTGGAAGCATGTTATTTAACAAATATGAGCAATGGGGTATGGGAAAGTGGAAGCGCCCTCACCACATCTCTCCCTTTCTTACTCACCCAACTTTTCGTTGTTCTTTTCCTCGATCGCATCCTCTTATCCATCCTTAAACCTTTACACCAACCTCGAATTGTCGCCCACATCACCGTAAGTGCAGTTTTTTTTTTCCTAATTTTTTCAAAATGCGTACATCTTATATACATATATATAATATAATTTGTTTGTTAATAATCAATGATTTATGTAATGTAATTTAATTAATCGAATTAAATATTATTCTTGCATGCAAGCAAATGAAGTTGCCAGCTCGATCTAGGAAGGAAGGAATCAATCACCAACGAAAGAGAATTACTAGCTGGTAATTAATAGAAATAATTAATTACTTAATTAATGTGCTTGCAGTGCGGTGTATTGCTAGGTCCAACTTTCTTTGGAGAAACCGATCTCTCTCGGAGCTATGTCATCCCTTACAAAACCACAATGGTGTTAGAGACTTTCGCAAACCTGGCACTCGTATATTACATGTTCCTCGTCGGACTAGAGATGGACTTCTCGCTTATCTTGGGTTGCGGTACTAAGCCGCTCACCTTTGCCATTGCTGGAATTTTGCTTCCGCTTGGGGTCGGTTTTGGCTTATTCTTCCTAGCACTGAGTCACTCACATGACTTTGACACCGGAGGTTCAATGTTCTGGGCCATAGTCCTCACCTCCACCAACTTCCCGGATCTTGCTCGAGTTCTTGCCAACCTCAAGCTCTTGCAATCAGACATTGGGAGAACGGCAATGTGTTCCGCCATTATAAGTGACCTCTGCTCTTGGCTTCTTCTTGTAGTAGCAATATCAATTCTCAACACAAGCAAATATTACGCATTGCTCTCCACCACCATCTTCGTCCTAGTCAGCGTCTTCCTAATCCGCCCTGCTCTATCGTGGCTAATCTGTTGCACATCCAAAGGGGAGCAGGGCAATATTTATATCACCGATAACCATGTATGGTTCATTCTGGCAGGAATCGTGCTCTTTGGATTCATTACCGACGCATGTGGCTCCCATTCTATTTTTGGGGCTTTCATGTTTGGAGTGATCATGCCACAGGAGTACGAGCACGAACACGGGAACATGATTGGAAGCACAGTTATAGAGAAGCTTGATCATTTTGTAACGGGGATCCTGATGCCTCTCTTCTTTTTAGTCAGTGGATTACGATCTGATGTTGCTTTTATGTTGAGCAAAACTCCTTGGACAATTGTGTTGCTAGTGGTAGTGGTGTCCTGTGCAGCCAAGATTGTGAGTGCTTTTCTTGTGTCTTTGCTATACAGGATGCCACCTCGAGAAGGTCTGGCTCTGGGATTGCTTATGAATACTAAAGGCGTATTAGCGCTCATAATCCTAAACACAGGAAGGAACATCAAGGCAGGTTAAATTCATTCTAAATTTATTATATACTGTAAATATTAATTAGTATAGTATTTCAGATTGAATTAATTTAGATTTTGATTATGTATCCATGTATATATGGACTTTTGCTAGTAGTACGTACAGTATTTAATTAATTAATGGACTGTCATCAGAAGCTGATCCATCAGTACTTTCTTTTCACACCTGCATGCAGGCTTTGAACAACCAGTCTTTTCCCTTAATGGTGCTTTCTCTACTGGTAATGTCATCCCTAGTAGAACCTATCCTCGCTTACAGTTACCAGCCAAAGCATCTTGTGAATTACAGGAATAGGACAATCCAAAGAGCAACTACGGAGCTACGAATCCTGGCGTGTGTCCATTCCATCCGCAACGTTTCTGGCATACTAAGCCTTCTTAACCTTTCTAACGCCACCAAACAATCCCCTCTCTGCATCTTTTCCGTGCACCTTGTGGAGCTCACTGGACGAGCTAGCACTGCAGTGCTAATTGTGCATGACGAGTTCAAGCCTACCAACAACCGCACCAAAACAGAGACGGGCCAAATCAACATTGCCTTTGATAACTTCGAGAAGAAAAACGCGGCGGTTACACTGCGCACGATCACTGCTCTGTCCCCTTATGCCACCATGCATGTGGATGTTTGCAGCCTCGCGGAAGACAAGCGTGTGGCTCTGATCATCCTGCCCTTTCACAAGCAGATGAACACCGATGGTAGGATGGGGAACACCAACTCTACTTTTGCCGATGTCAACCATAACGTGTTAATGAATGCACCCTGTTCTGTGGGCATATTGGTTGATCGAGGGTTGGGCTCAAAACATGTGGACTCACAGCACGGCCAGCAGCAGGTTGCAGAGCAAATTGCCATGTTATTCATCGGTGGGCCAGATGACCGTGAGGCATTGGCTTATGCTTGGAGAATGGCAGGGCATCCCAATGTAAGGCTAACGGTAGTAAGATTTATTCTTAGGAAAGATGCTGCAATGATGGTTGAGGAGAGGGAAAAAAAGATGGATGATGAGTACATATACGAGTTCAAGTTCAAGACCATGCAGAATAGTTCCATCAATTACATGGAGAAAGTGGTAAAAAATAACCAAGAGACAATAGCAGCAATAAGAACAATGGGTGATGTGTATGATTTATACGTAGTAGGAAGAGGGAAAGGAGTAAAATCACCCTCGACGCTGGAGCTCTCAAATTGGAGCATCTGCCCTGAGTTGGGAATAATAGGGGATATATTAGGGTCTTCTAACTTTGCATTACATGCATCCGTGCTAGTAGTGCAGCAATACAGCCATGGATCCACAATGACTCTCAATCTGTCAAACAGAAGCAATAATGATGATAGTGATCAAGACGAGGGCTATCAATCATGATCACAAAGCAAGATCTCGGGCTTAATTATAAATATAATATATATCCTACTGCGTTGTGCAGTAGGTAGAGGTCATAGAGAGAAGAGTTTGCATAAGTAAAGCCCAGAATCTTATTCCTCACATTGAAGAAGATATAATGCAAAATTAAATAGCACTTTCAGTCTTGAACACTGGCTGATGAACTCTTCTGTTTCTTTTTTGAACTGAACTCTTCTGTTTCTCTCTAGCCATATACGGTAAACAGCCCATCCCATGCCAATTTGATTAAAGATGGTAAGCAGTGATTTTCTTCTAATCTTTTTCCCCAGCCAAGTTAACAAAACCCTACCAACTGCCAAGAATTAATCCAAAAAAAACCGTATCACTGAGCTTAATACTCTTTTAATAAACTTTTATTAATGGTTAGCGGCTAGTATAAATAACTTTTTAATTGTTAAATAACAACGTTTTATTCAAAATTTTCACTAAAAAAAGTGAAATAGGACAGTTGGCAAATCTTTTAAACTAGTGCTTTTTTCTTATATAAAAAAAAAAAAAAAAAACTAGTGCTTGCTTCTTCTTTTTTTTCTTTCCTTTTTTTTGTCTTTTTTTTTTCCTTTCTGAAAGCCAGACCTTTTTAATAACTCTCACTCTAAAGATCTATTTGATTTAATGATTATTTTATTAGAAAAATTTGTACTAAAAAAGCATTATACCAAATTAAAATAAAAAAAATTATATTTAAAGTTACTAAATTTTATAATGAAATTTTATTAGAATT